GTTCAGGCTCTACAGATTCATTAACAGATAACACTGAAGACTTCCCCCAAGGCTTTAATGGAAAACAGAAATTTAGAGAATCTGGAAGTTAGTTGAAGGTTTCTTGTCAAGATGAGAGATCATGAGGGTTAACCCAGGAAAGCATAATGCTTTACGAATGTCAGCCTTAATGGGCAACCTGCGAGTTCTACCTTTTGTGTCTACCTCTGCTATTGATTGAAAACCCTGCACTTTTTCAATTACTACCAAACTCAAACATAATATTATATAACTACTCCTGCAAATATGCCAACCAGTTCTTGTTTAAATAAGAAGCAAAACAGCTAGCTACTGTCAGAAAATTTTATTATAGAAAATGAGGTCTTATACAAAAATGTTAATTTGGCAAAATAAATAAAGAGAAGGAATGAGAAGAAAGGTTACTTCTCTAATAACAATTGGTCCCTTTCCATAGATATAATTCCAAGTCAAGAATTACCTGTTTAAGCCAAAACCTCAGATTCCCTATCCCCCAACAAATTACTGTGCATATACCAACACCCTGAAGTCTCTTCCTCAATTCCATGTACAAGAAGTGACCAAATCCCTGAAGGTATTAAAACAAGGATATCGCTTGAGGGAAAATTTTCTAGATGAGTCTCACATGAAAACTAATAGGAGGAGAAAAAGATTATTAAGATACTAATAATAGCTTTTCACATGCCTTATTATTTTGCAAAGAAATTTTGCACACAAAGGAGAGGAAAATAAGATCCAAAACTTAACATAATGAAAGTACTATTAATTATAATAAGATGTCGATGAGCTATCAATTCGGGAACATTCACAGCAAAGAAATTTGTAAATGACTTCAATTGTGTACACCAAATTTTCTTTGCAGTTTTTATTGGTCGTCCATATTTTGCAATCATTATAGATTATTTTGATCCCCTGTCTTCATTGTGATCAGAAACCAACCAAACAGTTCAACTCCTAGATAAAAGCATTAAACTATCACAATCAGAGGAAGAAATTGGTTATGGCTGTACATTACAACACAAGTAATTTCAGACCATTTACAAGCACAACCGAATGCCTTTTGGGCCAATGTAAGCAACATAACAGTATAATGAAAACATAACACAAACCCCTCATGTTGGTAGATTGAGCTAACACAGCAAGTGGGACCTCAGCACTGTGTGTCAGCAGGAACAATTTGATAGGTAATTGCAGCTACAACCTACATAAATAAAATAAGGAGAAACAATTACCAAGTAACCAGGGAAGTGAAACCTAATAACGCCAATCATATTCTAAATTGTGCAGAGATAATAAGGTGCTTAGAACACAAAACATTCACATCAATCTGAAAAATTAAAAAAGCACTTATCTAGGGATCCTTTGCAGTAACTATATTATTTGGAGAACTTTTAAAGTATGCCCTAAAGCCATGCTAAGAAACTTAAAATTAGTAAGTTGGCATGTAACAACTATCACCTACATATATAATTTATGTTCATAATACTTTGACTCTTTCAAATAGTAATATACCAAGTTACCATTTTGTTTTGAACTGCACGTGTTAACATAACCCTCTTAAGAGACTGCACCTTCATCAGGTACATGAAGCTTACCCAACAATAGATATATATGATGAGTCCAACACCTTTAGTAGAGAAAACTAAAATACTAATAAAGTTCCATGGTTAAGATACTCTTGTTTGTTAAGTGCAAGTTAATAAGAACTGTCCTTGTGGTATTTGTTAAGATAGGTTGATGTTTTTTCTGTGGTTTGGACAAAGGGGTGCTATCCATTCTTTTTCTCTTCTATTACATGATTCTGGTGGACTCCAATTACCGTTACTTTTCCTCCTCTTAAAAGTAAATTTTTGTTTCTCATCCCCAAAAAATGAAAATAGAATAAAGTAAAAGTTTCTACATACAGACCATACACAAAAGAGCAAAACAAGCCTACCTCTTCATACCTTCTGTGGATTGGATTTCAAAAGCAGCGTACAATATTTCCTGCAGGATTAATTTTAACATTATAAAAACTTCTTGACCTAGCAACTAATTATGCCAATCAGCAAGAAATTATTGACAGAAGACATATCTATATGTTATGTATAATAGAATATATCAATCTATATTGTAGAATTGTAGGCTGCCTATTTTAGTGACCCCATTTACTCATTACTTGTGATGGGAACAAATGGATCACAATTATGAGTATTAATTTTTTTAAACCTCACACAGCAACAAGCATAAGAGAAAATGAAAGCATTTTGTACCCGTTCAGTACACATTTTTCAAGGAACATCGATTGCTTTCCAGTATTAGCAGCATAATTCATTGTGGGGAGCTCTCTTGTGTTATATTAAGTACTTCCTGAAAAACCACTATGACTACTTAGAAGGAATGTAGCTTCTAATAGGACAGTGATAGTGTGATATACCAGTCAATGTACCAGAAAATATCATAATTAGGCTTAATATATCAAATTCAAAAGATAAACAAAGCGTAAGTCTCTCATAAAACTATTTCACGACCATCTAAAGAACAAATAATTATACTAATAAGCTGCCGAAATTTTCACTACATGAAGTCTCAACTCTAACCTATGAACAAGAAGCCCTTGTACGCTACATATACGAAGACAGATGCACCTGAAGGTAGGATTTCTCACTGTCATCGGCATTCTTGGGATATTAGCACATCATATAATCCTTCCCTACACAAGCAAAAGAATCAATACTAACAAAAATCATCAAATTAAATCAGTTAAAACCACCATAACTCAAAATTAAAAAGGAAAAAACCTAGTATTGCAGCTGCAACAATGAAATTTAAAAAGGAAATTAATGAAAATATAAGCTTACCTTTTTCCTCAGGTTTTGCGTTATAAATATCACCACTTGACTTCGAATTTACCTCTTCTCTCACTGTCAAAAACAGTTAACATTTATGACAGTATTAGAATTAGTTACAACTAAGAATATTTAATAATTTATAAACAAAATAGAGAACTATGTACTGATAACCAACCTAACTAGATCATATTGCATATTTATTATCTAAGAAACAATGTAAGAATAAAATAAATTAAACAAGTACCTGAGATATTGATTTTTGCAGTCTTGGAGAGGGAGATTTGGAGGGTGTTTCGGTGGTCAGATCTGCAAGCGAAGTTATTTGCATTTATCAAAACCTCACAGTTGCCTGTCAAAAAAATAAGAAATTAACAATAGCAATGAAGAATAAATGAAATTGATTTCTAGGGTTCCTGGAGTCGTTACCGATTGGGATTGGGAGAGGAGATGAGGCTTCTTCTTTGGCGCCATGGTTTATGTTCTTGGGTTTCGAATGGGAAATGTAATCTTAAATAGGCGGGAACAAGGGTATTCTAGTAGATTTGCTTATATTGGTAGCATTTTAGTCATTTCAATCTTTACTAATTTCTTGCGTTAAGAAAATTCTCAATTTAGGTAATATCAAAACTTCCCTTAAGGTTTCTGAAATAATAAAATTCGTCTATCATGAAGTTTCAAATGTTAAAATAAATGGTCTAAGGTATATTATAATGTTGGCCACCTTTTGCCCTTGGTATTGGGGTGAGTAGTTTAAGTACCCTACATTTTTAGAAAAAACGAAACCGAAACCAGAACCTACAGGTTGTTGGAAAAACTGAACTGAAATACAGGTTCCAATTCCTTACTCGGACCCATAAAAAATCAATAACCCCTTATTAGTTTAAAAAATACAAACACAACATTAAAATTTTACAAATACACCTTTGACAAACTAAGAAAATCTTAAAATTATAAATATATATATTTTACAAAGTATAGTTATGGAATTAATTTGGGAATTAATTTTAGTAAATTTTATAATCCAAAAATACAAATATTAATAATATTATAATTACTAGAGTGAAATAAAGTTTAATTAACATTAATTGTGAATTTGTGACACAATAATAAAATTAAATATTATATAATATGATTTATGAATCTTTCTTTAAATAATTATATGACTTAACTTTAAATTTTTTAATGATTTCTTAATATAATGTGACTCATAGGCATGAGTTGTCATACATAATGTACTAATAATTTAATTAGTAATGTAATAATTTAGTAAATATTATGTTTATAATGTAATGTTATAATTAATTAAGTAATCATACTATAAATCATAATGTATGCTATAATTAATTAATTTCTAATTATTTAATTAAGTAATGTACTAATATAGTAAATTACTAATGTTTATAATGTAATGTTATGCTAATCATTTAACTATAATATATGTTATAATTATTAAATTTCTAATCATTTAATTAGGTATGTATGATATAATAAATTACTAATGTTTATAATATATGTTATAATTAATTAATTTTTTATCATTTAATTAAGTTATATACTAATTAGTAAATTACTTAGTTTATAATGTAATGTTATAATTAATTAACAATTGGTAATCATTTACTAGTAATGTACTAATGTTTATTAATTTATCATATAAATTATTAATTACTATTTACTTAAATTACTTAGAACTTGATAGTGAAATAATAACTAAATATTCAATCGAATATATTATTTTATTAAAATAAGTCTTGATAATTATATATTAAAACATATTTTGTTATTTCTAGAAAATGTTATTTAACAAGTTTTTGTATTTTATTTATCAGAATGTTATTTTCCAGAAATGATAACCTCTAAAAAAAACAAAATTGATTTGCATTCAGTTTGTCAAAGTAGAAAATGAAAATGGAACCGAAGGATGGCCCCACAGAAACTTGGAAGCACTAATTTTCGCCTTTTTTTAGAATTTTTTTTACTTATCACTAACCATCTTCTACACATTAAATATGGTCTAATCATCAAACTGAGCATATGAAAGCTACTGATTGGAAATTAAAAGAAGAAAAAAAAAAAAAACAATTTGTGCATAAAAAGAACTAGTAGACTTTCCTCACAAACATACAGCCTATAGAGATCCTTCAAACTTACTTTTCCACCAGCAGACTTGACGATGGCAGATAGCGTTTTGACAGGGGGTTGAACATGAGCAGCCATGCTTATGTTGTATCCTTTAAATAAACCTCCTGGCCTTGCTTTAGCTCTAAGAACTGCAGTTTTCAACTCAGCTCTGTACTTCAACACATAATCTTCATCATATAATATATAGGGTAATTCATCTGCACAGGAAGATAGCAGGAAGTCAAATAAACTGTGAAAGTGCTTTGATAAACACGGAGAACGAGCAAAATATTATCATGAACTAACCTACAAATCTTCCTTCTCTAAAGCTTTGTTTTAACCAACTGGGTGAGACTATCCATGCTCTGCATTAGGGGCCATCACCTCACCATTACAAATTATGGCATGTGTATGTTAAAAATAAAGATCTCATGCAAGCAAAATATCGAACAAGACGACTGAAAATAACTAGAACTCGAGAAGAACAAACTACATGTCTTCAAGGAAACGAGCAAAATAGACATATATGCAAAGTGGAAACTGCAATAACAAATCAGACACCACCACCACCCCCCAAAAAAAAAAAAAAAAAAAAAAATAAATAAAAGATGGAGTGAGGGGTGGTTTATATCTAGCCTCTGTGATGCTTTACATTATGCAGGTCTCATGGGAAGTAGACAAGTCTTTCCACTTTGTTTCATCTTTCTGAAACTGAGTTTGTATCTCAACAAGATGCTTGGCATTCTAGAAATTATAGCTGTCATGATAATAAATCACTCAAATCTGGTGGGGGCTTATTTTGTTACACTTCCATAAAGTAACACCATAGATCAAATATTCAGCTTTTGAAGTTTATTCTGATGGAATATTAATCCAAACCGGAACTACAACAAGGACCATATAGAAAATGAATAACATTGAATGAAATGAGAAAAAAATTTGTAAAAGAAAAAACCTTCATTCTACCCTCAGACACTACAAGGTCCTTTAATGACTATAAACTATACCATCCAAACAAAAAAATCAAATAAAATACTCAGGAAAATACAATGTATCTTAATAGAAAAACAGAAACTCAAAGAGGAGACAAAAATAAATAACCATTAAGTGATAAAGAGTTAATGAAAATGAAAATTTTCTTATACATTTTTGACAAATTTTCCTGAAACACAAAATTCAGTAATTTCTAAAGTAAGAAAATTATCAAAAAAAAGATCATAATCAAAACAGAAATTTGATGAATATATGCATATAACCATGTAAAATATGCATGTTAGATTTGAGCAATTCAGCAAAGTATAATAAATATGAGGATCCAAATAAGACTAACCCTGAACAGAGAGCAGTGCAGAAATTCAGGGTCTTTCTCACTTTTCCTGTGACAACATGGGAGCTTATACTTCCATCATAGGTAACAACACCGCCCAAGTTTTCAATTACCTACATCAAAATAATTAATGCTCAAAAAATACATTCAAATAGAAACCTCCGAAGAAAAGAAAACATTATTTAAAAGGTACTGACACCAAGCGGTATATCAAAAAATTTGGTGGGGAATAGGTGGGGATCTAACCAAATAAGACTAACTGTTCAAAATTACCATATATATATAAGAATATTTAATACATAGCATCATAACATAAGAATCACCTGAAATCATCACACGAGAACGTATCCTTGGAGTTCGCTTTGAACTCATGTAGAGTGTCAGCTAAACTTCTCTACTTTAATATCGAAACACTAAAAGGGTTACTGTTTAATTTTATTGAACAGATTTTTCCTGTTGGATATGAGTTTTTACAAGATTCTTTCTTCTAATCACATATTGCATTTCAACATTATCTATTAGCATAGTGAGATGTAGTATTGCATGCCTTTTACAGATTTTGTTGATGTTCAATCACAATAAACAAGTATATTGTAGTTGCAATTCGTGCCAGTATTTTGAAAATTTCCCTCAAAACAGGAAGATTAAGATATACACCGATGGTAGATTTATTTTCATTTGAAGCGGACTGATTATTAATAATAAGATGTGAAAGGTTCTCCGTGTCCAGATGGGGAAAATATTGGAAATTCTCCTAGTTGCATACCTTAGTTTATAGAAAAAAAAAAAAAAAAACTTAAAAAGTGGACACAGTTAAACTTTGGTAGATAGTTTAGGATATTTCTTTTAGAATAGCCAATGGAACATGTCTCTTTAAGGACTTGTCCAACAAAGTTCCTTTTAAGGGTCTCATCAATAATGTAAACTCAACATTGAGGATTTTGATTAGTCTGATAACAAATCTTCATGTATAACTAAATTTCTCTTACGCAGTTCTCTGGCAGAATCAAAAGAAAAAATGCTAATCCTCTATAACATTTGCATGTACAAAATAAAGTAGTATCATTTTAGAAACCTAACTCTGAGAGGCATCAACATCAGGAACTATTTCCAATAAAGTCAAGATAGGTAAGGAGATGGTCAACTTCTAATTGTTCTACATTTCTAAACATTTATACATGGATCAGAATCTTAACAACATACCCAACTTCAATTACTGCAATAGAAATAGCAAATTATCAATGCCTTTGTGCCAGAAAATATTAAATAAAGGAGACATACCTTTGTGAGCTGCATTTTCTTAGAACATTCAGCAATATTCATCAACATGATTCTAAAGCATTCTCCATTGGACAGAAGTTCTTTGCTAATGAGACCTGCTGAAGTAGTAAAAACTGCTTCATCTTTTGCACTACTTTTTATGCAACTACTAGTCAAAGGATAGCTAGGAGTAACTTCCACCAAAGATTTACTTCCTGAAATCACCAAGGCTTCATCACCTTCTGAAACTAAACCAGAGGTAGAATCTAACTGACAATCAACATGATGACTTCCTTTAACTTTTTTGGACTTCAGTGAAGGCAATGAGGCTTCCCAAATCCTCCTCTTTGCACATTGTGCAGAGCAAGTACAGTGTATAGCATCAGTATCAGCCCCAATCTTGGCTGCAGTAATGGCCATGTTGCTGCGCTGTGCCTTCTCTAAATTAGTTCGGTCCCCAAAACTATGCATTAAGTCCCAACCCTGAGAAAAACCTGTTAAAAACAAAGGGAAAAAAAAAAAAAGGTCAGCACCTAATATAAAACCTATGAAATTTTGTTAGGAAGACAAACTGAAAGAGGTGACACTTAGATATCATTAGAAATCAATTTCTAAATTTTTGTAACAGTTGAAGTAGGTCTACACTAAATAGTGAAAACTGATTCAGAGAGCATCTTGAAGGTTTCAAGATCTACCCAATGTGATTTCACCTCTAGTCATGAATCTTTTTTCCATAGTCACTTAATAGAAGGGAATGCATATTTTCAAAACTATATGAACTCTGTGTGTGTGTGTGTGTGTGTGTAATTTCACTTACCAGCCAACCTGGTTTCTTCTCTTGGAAACCCATCTTTTACCAACTGCTCAGGTTGACAACTTTTTGCAGTGGAAGAGATTTGATTCTGTGACATTGGTAACTTGTTACACTCTCCATCGAGTTCAGGCTCTACAGATTCATTAACAGATAACACTGAAGACTTCCCACAAGGCTTTAATGGAAAACAGAAATTTAGAGAATCTGGAAAGTTAGTTGAAGGGTTCTTGTCAAGATGAGAGATCATGAGGGTTGAACCACCAGGAAAGCATAATGCTTTCCGAATGTCAGCCTTAATGGGCAACCTGCGAGTTCTACCTTTTGTGTCTACCTCTGCTATTGATTGAAAACCCTGCACTTTTTCAATTACTACCAAACTCAAACATCAAATATTATATAACTAGCTCCTGCAAATATGCCAACCAGTTCTTGTTTAAATAAGAAGCAAAACAGCTAGCTACTGTCAGAAAATTTATATTATAGAAAATGAGGTCTTTATACAAAAATGTTAATTTGGCAAAATAAATAAAGAGAAGGAATGAGAAGAAAGGTTACTTCTCTAATAACAATTGTGTCCCTTTCCATAGATATAATTCCAAGTCAAGAATTACCTGTTTAAGCCAAAAACCTTCAGATTCCCTATCCCCCCAACAAATTACTGTGCATATACCAACACCCTGAAGTCTCTTGCTCAATTCCATGTACAAGAAGTGACCAAATCCCTGAAGGCATTAAAACAAGGAAATCGCTTGAGGGAAAATTTTCTAGATGAGTCTCACATGAAAACTAATAGGAGGAGAAAAAGATTATTAAGAAGTACTAATAATAGCTTTTCACATGCCTTATTATTTTGCAAAGAAATTTTGCACACAAAGGAGAGGAAAATAAGATCCAAAACTTAACATAATGAAAGTACTATTAATTAAATAATAAGATGTCGATGAGCTATCAGATTCGGGAACATTCACAGTCAAAGAAATTTGTAAATGACTTAAATTGTGTACACCAAATTTTCTTTGCAGTTTTTATTGGTCGTCCATATTTTGCAATCATTATAGATTATTTTGATCCCCTGTCTTCGTTGTGATCAGAAACCAAACCAAACAGTATCAACTCCTAGATAAAAGATTAAACTATCACAATCAGAGGGGAGCAATTGGTTATGGCTGTCCATTACAACAAGAGTAATTTCCGACCAATTATAAAAGCACTAGCCGAATGCCTTTTTGGGCCAATGTAAGCAACATAACGGTATAGAATGAAAACATAAACAACAACCACCTCATGCTGGTAGATTGAGCTAACAGCAGCAAGTGGGACCTCAGCATACTGTGTGTCAGCAGGAACAATTTGATAGGTAATTGCAGCTACAACCTACATAAATAAAATAAAGGAGAAACAATTACCAGGTAACCAGGGAAAAGTGAAAACCTAATAACGCCAATGAATATTCTAAATTGTGCAGAGATAAATAAGGTGCTTAGACACAAGAAACATTCACATCAATCATGAAAAATTAAAAAAGCACTTATCTAGGGATCCTTTGCAGTAACTATATTATTTGGAGAACTTTTAAAGTATGCCCTAAAGCCATATGCTAAGAAACTTAAAATTAGTAAGTTGGCATGTAACAACTATCACCTACATATATAATTTATGTTCATAATACTTTGACTCTTTCAAATAGTAAATAATACCAAGTTACCATTTTAGTTTTGAAATGCACGTGTTAACATAACCCTCTTAAGAGACTGCACCTTCATCAGGTACATGAAGCTTACCCAACAATAGATATATATGATGAGTCCAACACCTTTAGTAGAGAAAAAAACTATAAATAACTAATAAAGTTCCATGGTTAAGATACTCTTGTTTGTTAAGTGCAAGTTAATAAGAACTGTCCTTGTAGGTACTTGTTAAGATTAGGTTGATGTTTTTCTGTGGTTTGGACAAAGGGGTGCTATCCAGTCTTTGTTTTCTCTTCTATTACATGATTCTGGTGGACTCCAATTACCGTTAACATTTTCCTACCTCTTTAAAAGTAAATTTTTGTTTCTCATCCCCAAAAAATGAAAATAGAATAAAATAGTAAAAGTTTCTACATACCAGACTATACAACAAAAGAGCAAAACAAGCCTACCTCTTCATAACCTTCTGTGGATTTGGATTTCAAAAGCAGCGTACAATATTTCCTGCAGGATTAATTTTAACATTATAAAAACTTCTTGACCTAGCAACTAATTATGCCAATCAGCAAGAAATTATTGACAGAAGACATATCTATAATTTATGTATAAATAGAATATATCAATCTATATTGTAGAATTGTAGGCTGCCTATTTTAGTGACCCCATTTACTCATTAACTTGTGATGGGAACAGAATGGATCACAATTATGAGTATTAATTTTTTTAAACCTGCAACAAGCATAAGAGAAAATGAAAGCATTTTGTACCCGTTCAGTACACATTTTTCAAGGAACATCGATTGCTTTCCAGTATTAGCAGCATAATTCATTGTGGGGAGCTCTCTTGTGTATATATTAAGTACTTCCTGAAAAACCACTATGACTACTTAGAAGGAATGTAGCTTCTAATAGGACAAGTGAATAGGTGATATACCAGTCAATGTACCAGAAAATATCATAAACCAAAATATCATAATTGGGCTTAATATATCAAATTCAAAAGATAAACAAAGCGTAAGTCTCTCATAAAACTATTTCACGACCATCTAAAAGAACAAATAATTATACTAATAAAGCTGCCGAAATTTTCACTACATGAAGTCTCAACTCTAAACTTATGAACAAGAAGCCCTTGTACGCTACATATATGAAGACAGATGTACCTGAAGGTAGGATTTCTCACTGTCATCGGCATTCTTAGGATTAATTAGCACAATCATATAATCCTTCCCTACACAACCCAAAAGAATCAATAACTAACAAGAAATCATCAAATTAAATCAGTTAAAACCACCATAACTCTCAAAATTAAAAAAGAAAAATAAAATAAAATAAAATAACCTAGTATTGCAGCTGCAACAATGAAATTTAAAAAGGAAATTAATGAAAAAATAAGCTTACCTTTTTCCTCAGGTTTTGCGTTATAAATATCACCACTTGACTTCGAATTTACCTCTTCTCTCACTGTCAAAAACAGTTAACATTTATGACAGTATTAGAATTAGTTACAACTAAGAATATTTAATAATTTATAAACAAAATAGAGAACTATATACTGATAACTCAACCTAACTAGATCATATTGCATATTTATTATCTAAGAAACAATGTAAGAATAAGAAATAAATTAAACAAGTACCTGAGATATTGATTTTTGCAGTCTTGGAGAGGGAGATTTGGAGGGTGTTTCGGTGGTCAGATCTGCAAGTGAAGTTATTTGCATTTATCAAAACCTCACAGTTGCCTGTCAAAAAAATAAGAAATTAACAATAGCAATGAAGAATAAATGAAATTGATTTCTAGGGTTCCTGGAGTCGTTACCGATTGGGATTGGGAGAGGAGATTGAGGCTTCTTCTTTGGCGCCATGGTTTATGTTCTTGGGTTTCGAATGGGAAATGTAATCTAAAATAGGCGGGAACAAAGGGTATTCTAGTAGATTTGCTTATATGTGGTAGCATTTTAGTCATTTCAATCTTTACTAATTTCTTGCGTTAATGAAAAATTCTCAAGTTTAGGTAAATATCAAAACTTCCCTTAAGGTTTCTGAAATAATAAAATTCGTCTATCATGAAGTTTCAAATGTTAAAATAAATGGTCTAAAGGTATATATATAATCGTTGGCCACCTTTTGCCCTTGGTATTAGGGGTGAGTAGTTTTAAATACCCTGCATTTTTTGGAGAAACGAAAACCGAAACCAGAACCTACAGGTTGTTAGGAAAAGAAATCGGAACTTGAAATGCAGGTTCCAATTCCTTACTCGGGTACCCTATAAAAAATCAATATCCCCTTATTAGTTTAAAAAATGACAAACACACATTAAAATTTTACAAATACACCTCTGACAAATTAAAAAAATCTTAAAATTATAAATATATATATTTTACAAAGTATAGTTATGGAATTAATTTTGGGAATTAAATTTTAGTCAATTTTATAATCCAAAAATACAAATATTATATAATATTATAATTACTAGAGTGAAAATAAAGTTTAATTAACATTAATTGTGAATTTGTGACACAATAATAAAATTAAATATTAATATTAATATGATTTATGAATCTTTCATTAAATAATTAGTATGACTTTAACTTTAAGTTTGTTTAATGATTTCTTAATATAATGTGACTCATGAGGCATGAGTTGTCATACTAGAATGTACTAATAATTTAATTAAATAATGTAATAATTTAGTAAATTACTAATGTTTATAATGTAATGTTATAATTAATTAAGTAATCATACTATAAATCTATAATGTAATGTTATAATTAACTAAATTTCTAATTATTTAATTAAGTAATGTACTAATATAGTAAATTACTAATGTTTATAATGTAATGTTATAATTAATTAAGTAATCATACTATAAATCTATAATGTAAAGTTATAATTAATTAAATTTCTAATCATTTAATTAGGTAATGTATTAATATAATAAATTACTAATGTTTATAATGTAATGTTATAATTAATTAATTTTTTTATCATTTAATTAAGTTATATACTAATGTAGTAAATTACTTATGTTTATAATGTAATGTTATAATTAATTAACAATTAGGTAATCATTTAACTAGTAATGTACTAATGTTTATTAATTTATCATATATAATTATTTAATAACTAATTTACTATAAATATACTTAGAACTTGATAATTGAAGTAAATAACTAAATATTATTCAATCGAATATATTATTTTATTAAAAATAATTCTTTTAATAACATTAAAACACTTCTAATTGGATTCTAATTCTAATTATAATTTATATACTTAATTAATCAAAACTTTAATATTATAATATATTAAAGTCTTTTATATGTAAAAATTTCAATATATTAATTTGATTAGGTTATTATAATATATTAAAGTTTTTTATATGATGAAGTTTATATGTATAATTAATTGTATATATATTTGATTGGTTATTGTCATTGTTACAGTATAATTTTTTATATAACATTTCATCCCATTTGGCCATTTATAATTTTTTTATATGTAAAATTACGAAAGACCCCCAATTCTTTATTGATATTTATTTAAATCCAGGTTCCAATACAAGTTCCTACATGGGTACCCGGACTCGATTCCAAGACATGTTCCATTCAAGGTACCTAGAAGAGTACCCACCAGGGTACCTGTTTCGGGTTCCCATCACAGGTTCTGGTTCCTGGACATATAGGATCCAAAACCGAACCCGCATAGTAACGATTCCAGAAAATTAGAACCGAAATCTTCTCACAGAGTGTCGATTTTGGATAGGTTATGGTTCCAGTTCTACCCACCCGTAGCGGGTCTTATCATGAATGTGGTTGGCATTTGTTATTCTTGTATGTTTTTTAGATGCTATATTCAATGGGTTGGTATGCTATTCTTCTAACAAACAATAACATCATTTGAGAAATGCTAGTCTTACAAAGTGTTATATAAAGAAACCCTACAAACTGACGTGGCATTTGCCACGTCACTTCCCACATCAATTAATGATTTTTTTTTCTCCTCCGTCGTTTTCATTTTCTGTTTCTTCTTCTCCATCGCTCATTTTTTTGCTTCTTATGTTTTTTCTTCTCCATCACTTTGTGTTTGATGAAATAGCCCATTTTTTCCATTTTTTTTCGTCATTCTAAAATCTTCATTAATTGATGAGATTTCATTACAAAATCCTTTAAAATGCCAACAAACCAAACCCTGACCTTAACCACCGAAACCATAGAGTCCGGCACACCGAATCTTCATTAGCTTGACGCCGACATGCCTCGCCACTCGCCGAATCGCCGACTTCGTGATCCCCTGAATGTTATATCTAAGAACACTTATGGTGACATTTCACTTCTGACTCCAGTGATTCGAGCCTTAACAACTTGTCTGTAAAGTCTTCATCAGTCTCAACCACTCAAACCAAAAAGGATGCTTTCCAAGTGAAATCTGGAATTTGGGCAAATTCACTAAGTCGTGGAATAATTGATCTTAATATAGCTGCTTGTAAGTATATTTTGCAACCACCTAAATTTTTTTATGCTTGCAATGTTCGTCTTCACATCTATTAAATAATATTTTCATGTATATATTATGTTGTAGGTTGCTCGATAATGTAATCTTACCTTCATGGATTTATAGTTAGACAAACTTCTTCCTGTATACATTTAATAGTTTGAGTATGGCAGTGGATCCAAGTTGTGTATAATTTACATATGATGCTTGAAGTCTCAGATTTGGAGTTGAACCATGGAATCTGCACTAATCATTTTCATGTTCAGATATGGAGGGGGACCTTGGTACATGATACATTTTGTCTGGCTTCATGATCTCCTGAATACATCAATTGTTCGTAAAGTAAAAGAGAAGAAATTGCGAAAGCAAGTAAATGATAAAAAAAGGTTAAAGGTAAAAATTTAGTAATTATCAAATTTGTTAATATTTTCTTATATTTATTGATAAATAACACAAAATTTGTTATATAATTGTAGGATTGTTGGATACCCAAGTGTAGACGTAAAAATCTACCTGTACGGAAGGAGGGATTGATCCCATGAGGTTGAGGCCACTAGCGATCCACTGTACCTGCACACGTAGAGAAATAAACGTGAAGTGACGGAAAACACCGAGGTGGTGTTTGCCGTAGGCACTCCGACACTTAAGTCAACAAGGCTGAAAGAGGCTGATTTAGTGAAGGCTAGGGAGTAGAGAGGTTACCAGAAGTCTAGTCGGGGACTGTGACTACGGTTGTAATGTGAAGTTCTCAACCGGGAACTCCGGGGTCTGAAGGTGTAAAGTAATCTGCCCTGTGAGAGGGCTAGCCTTTGTTTAAATAGTGACTGTTTGGTATCCCAATCCTACTAGGATTGGGAGTTCTTGTAGTAATCCGTTCCCTCTAGGGATATATCCTTTGGTCCCATTATCCTGGCGTGAAGGGGAGTCCAAGTATGACTCTGATACGGACCTTGAAGGAGTTGGGATGGTAGTGAACTGCTTTATTGATGTTCAAGTAGGAATGTGATCCATAGGTGACCGTGGGCTCTAAATTGTTCATAGGTCCGGGAAGTATACTGGGATTAGGAGGCCTGTGTCCAGATGGTTTGGACCGATTATACTTCGTATCAAATGGGCCTTACTTGGGGAGCTCTGGCTTGGGCCGCATCGGGATTGGGCCTGATCCCTTCCTTACTGTCGGACGCGTTATCCCATTTGGGCCGAGGACATTTTTTGGCCCTAATAGTTTGCCCCCTCTGAGTTAAGGTTTGCTTAAGTCAGAGAGTAGGAATCGAACGAGGTGTATCCGGTCACCCTTCTCGGACGACCGATTGCTGGCACAACTGATCGGTTGGATGTAGATGACACGTGGTCAAGTCACTCTGTGTCCTTCGCCGAGTCAGATCGTGCAGCCAGTTCTAGGGGGAATGGCCGATCAGTGTGCGGGGCCGAGTGGACTGAGTTCAAAGCGAAACGTTTGGGGTGCATGTACCCGCTCAGTGTGTCTAGTTGAGTGAGGGATTGAACAAGCCACCTATCACGGGTGACTTCGGTCGGTATGCCAGGTCAAGTGAGTAAGCAAGACACCAATCAAAGGTGCGCTCGCCCGAGGTATTTGGGGTGAATGAGTGAAAGAGGTCGACTCGTCCGGCTTGCTTGACTGCATGAAGGATGCTCGTGCTGAGCGGTCTGATCCGAGGCAAGGGTTGTACGGATGTTAACCCTTAGGCGCCCTCTCGTCCACTACGGAAGGCCGAATGGACATGACCGCTCTCGCCTCACTCGTCTCGAGGCAGTAAGTAGGCTAGAATGTTCCAGGCTAGTCGTCCTAGCTGGGAGAACCTCCTGGGTGTGCGAAGCATGGAAGTGAGTCGGCCGCGTTCGGGGGCCGGAGTGTTGTCATGTGCCTTCTCGGTCGAGTAGGAGGGACGATCCATCGTGGCTTCCGTACGATGGTTTGGTTTCCTAGGTGGCGTAGATGTCTACCACGTGTACGATGGTGATCGGTTCTTCGTTTTAGGGCAGGAAAAGGAAGAGTCGCTCTGACCTTGGTCCAATCGCAGGTTGCCATGTGTCCACCTCTGTCAGTTTTCTTCCATAAAACCGAGGGAGCGGACTGTTCGTCTCCCATTTCGCGTTTTCATCTGTTTTTTTGCAGTTTCGATTTTTTCCTTTTCTTTTCTACTTTCTTTGTTCTGGTTTCCTTGAGCAACGGTGGTTCTCTTTTTGTAGATTTCGGAATCGTTTACGGTAAATATTATCCTCTTACGCTGATTTTTGGTTTGTTTTGCTTGTTTGCTTCGTTTGTGCTAAGCTTTTGGGAGATAAGGTGAGATTTTGTGAGGTTTTGAGGGGTTTCGTCTGGGTTTTGGAGGTGT